GATCCGTTACGGGACGATTCGACGGCAATCATCAAGCCTGGTCCACCTGACCCTATTATTACACCTACCCTACGGAGAAGAATCTTACTAAGGCACCAAATCGCCCCCCCATATGCCACCTCTCGGACGAAATCGGAACCATTTATTCCAACGGAAATTGGCAACAGTTACCCATATGCTAGAAGAACGACGGCATGTGCTACAAGAACAAGCGATCAAACGAAACAAAATGCCGACAACCTACATACGTGCCCTTCCACGAACGAGAATAGCAAGACAAACGGGTTGTTAACCCAAAAGGACACAGGTACTTGAAAAAAACAAGACTAAAATCAAAAACAGCAACGCAAACCAAACCATAGAGCAACACGCCCGAAAAACATTCTCGGTGGTGCACGCAGCTGCACGACACAAACGAAGCAGGGCAACCGAAGTGTAGACAGATCGACATGTCCGAGTTCGAAAAACCAAACACCGACAAAGCGACGTGCAACTGCACTCAGACCAACACCCTGCGGGCAACAAGTTATGACAAGGATGACTACAGGACAGGACAGGTCTACGAACGAACCCTCCTGCAAACAGGAAAGAGCGGTACCAAGTCACAGCAAAAGCAGTTGCCCGATACATGGAGCCACTTACACCACCACAACCACGTGCGTACCGTGCTCGAACTGACCAGGTCAAACTGGGTTTCGTAAACGGCACCCATGCCCTAGTGGCAACAACACTTGCCTATGGGCAACGCAAACGAATCGAAAGGACCCACAGTTCCAGGCACTGGGCGCCCAGCCAATATTTGAGGCCAAACATGACCACAAACGAGCAGTGACGTCGACCTTGCAAAAAGGAACTGGTTTGGGAACGACAGGACAAACCTCTGTAACGGCTAACGAAGACAATGATAACGACAAGCTGCAATCAAACCTGAAATCTCGATGTCAAGACGAAAAGACCTCCCGGATATACCTACCCCCCCCCTCATAATTTTATACGTGGACAATACGACATGTCACCAGAAGTGACCGACAAAACATCGACCGTACCTACAGTCTACCCCACATCCCTTGCTACCCTACCTAAAGTGTAACCTCCTCGAGAAAGAAAAAAACGAAAAAGGATAAAAATAAGAGAGGACAACGCAACAAGAGTCAGATGAGCTTTCGACAGAGGCAATAAACCGTACTGCGGTTGCAGAGTACAATACGACTCGCAGTTGAAAAAAAAAAAAACAGAGAGGAAACAAAAAAGAAAAAGAACGAAAAGCTGTTCCATGGAGACAAGACGGCTGAGCGTACAAGTACTTGTAGGCTAACCCTAACGCTTTCGGCCTTGGGCTTGGCGTTACGCCTGCAGCTGCGTCGAGGAGATCGTCGCGGCCGCGTGGCCGGGCCTAGCCTTCTTCCGCGCACGCGGTTCGGCTGCCTTCCCTTCAGCCTGAACCTGTGGCATAGGCGCGGCTGGGTCGAGGAACTTGTGGAAGTTGCACATCTGATTCCGGTCGAACTTGGGCAGGTTACGTACTTTCGTCCCTTCTTCGTGCCGTGGAGGACGCAGAAACACAGACGCATGTAGAAAAGAGGGCGGTGTCGATGTGTCGGAGCGCATTTGGGCGGGGGGGGGGGGCTCAGGGATTGCGGATAACGCACTAAGAGCCGAGCGAGAGGGGCATACGGGCAATAGGCCAACGTCCTAAGCATAAGCCAACTACGCCATCAACAGAGTTCAAGAAGCCTGCCGGAAAAAATAACACACCCTAAACCCGACGAGGACGTACTGGTGCAATCCCGAAACGAGGCGCATGGACAGAGGCAGGGGGGGAGGGAGGATTTTGGAGGTTCCGCACCTGATGAGGGACTAATTCGCGGACGTTTCTACAACATTAGAATGACACCAGTTCGGCAATGAAATGCCGCAACACCTCCCTTACTCCCTGCAGATGTAGACCAAGTCCCAAAGTATGTGTGCAACAGACTCACCGACTTCACCTCCCCGTGGGATGCCGGAAGACCACACTCGCAGAGCGTCTGTCCACTCGTGGTAAGCGCAGCCTTCCGCGGGGCCCTAACCCGGACTGCACCGCCCGCCGCCACTGCAGAGGTTGCACCAGTCGCTCGTCCGCCATAAGAAGCACCGAAGCTCGGAAGACGCCCCCCCCCCCTCCTGCGGACGAGGCATCACCAAAAGGTGCGGCTCGTCCGCCCCCAGCAACCACGGGCAACGCCCTTGCACCCGCCGCGGTTGCACCCTGCGAAGGTTGCGCAGGAGGAGGTTCTCCGACAACTGCAGAACGAGCCAGCCCTGCCGAGGCGGCGCTACCGCCGAACCCAGCGTACCCGCCGAAGGGAGGAAGCGCGCCTGCACCCGCTTGCATCCCGAGTGGGTGCGGTTGGACGCCACCATGCATCATCCCCATTGCGTTGAAGATCTGCTGGTTCACCTGCTCTTGAGCAGGTCTTTGATCTCACCCGATTCCGTCCTGCTGCTCGCCCCTCCCTGCTCGCCACCACCCACAGTCGGCACCGCCGGCGCGGTCATTTTCTGGCGGACCAAGTCGATTACGCTGCTCAGCCTGTTTTGGAGGCCAGCAGAGCCACTCATCGTGGAGAATAGAGGTGGAACAGACCGGGTCCTCTTTCCCCCACTCTTCCCGCTCCTCGTCCCCCGCGCAGCCTTGCCGCTTGGTAACAGGGTCGCCTTCCGGGCTTCGTCTCACGCATCTGGTTCGTCGGATAGCTCCTCCTCTTCCTCCTCGTCTTCACCGGGTGCGGTTGCCAACGAAAGGACCTTCGCCGTCAGAGGTCTCTGATTCCCGTCGGAACCGACAGTCCTCCCCCCGGGACCGGATGTTCGCCGCAGCGGCCGCAGAGTAACGGGACTTGGAGTTGCTGCTGCCGCCCTTGCCTCTGCCACCTGCCGGTTGTACCACCGGGAAACCCTGTGTCGCACCTCGGCCTGGCAAACCGTCGCGGGCACTGTCACGCAACGCCAGTCCCTGCGCCATGTGCTCCTTCGACGGGCCTGTGTCCTTCTTCTTCGACGCCATCCCGGCCTCACGCCATGCCATAGCCTTGAGCAATTCGCAATCCTGAACGACGCACAGCACATGTCAGACGAAGAATGGACATGTGGGGCGGGCACGTCAGGGCGGCAGAGGCCATGCACTCCCAACTCTTGCTGCTTGTTGTCGCCCCCCTGGACTAATAGCTACATGTCGTGAGACGATCATCGAACTGTTTAATGAAGGCAGCGCACGTCTACAACACATGATCATTCGGTTCTAAAGTGAATGCAAGCTCCTGCCCAGATCAATCTATAACCCTGCTCCGGGAAACCTACAACCATTGGGGGGGGGGGGGGGGGGGGGGGGGGGGGGGGGGGGGGGGGGGGGGGGGGGGGGGGTCAATGGACGCCCCAACGACAAATGCGCAGGGCAAAAAAAAAGCGTCCGCTTCGCTCGAGTAAGCTCCTAACCACTTTGCTCGACCAAAAGCACAAGACAAGATGGACTGCGTAGGACCCGCCGGACACGGGAGTGCAGTGATCCACATAATACACGCCGTACGCGTTCTACCGTAACCCAGCCAGGCAACATTGGTATGGCAACCGTGCTGGTCCTCTCTGAGTTTCAAGGGCATTTTTACCGTTGTTTTGTAACCCCTTCATCTGTGACCTACATAGCTCTTACTACCTCTCAGCGGTTTCACTGCTACCTGCCCCCAAATATACCTATGGTTTGGCTAACCCTAACACCTTAACAAGTTCGACAAGGTAGGCGCTACGCCCACGCCCAGCTTGAGCGGTTGCCAGGGGAAGGACGATTTTGTGCGCTGCGATAGATTGGCGGCGGACTTTGCACTATCTCCACGGGGAAAACTGGGTGTTTATCATTTGGCGTTCCCAAAGTTATCGACGCTTTAGTCTAATCCTAGCAACCGTCGTGGGTGGGGGGGGTGGGTGGTCAGTACCGCTGGCGACAAAGTAAGCTTAGCAAGACTACGCGTTGTTCTTTTGAGTGCACGGTCTAGATATAGTTATGGAAGATGACGCCGCGTCTATGCCGCGTCCTCTGAACGCAAGGGCCCGCGTGAGAAGGACTACAGCAACAACCGAAATATGAAGAAGATCACTCGATGATGCTAAGAAACCCTTAGGGCCAACCGGCCTCTGGCTTCAGGTCTTCGAAAGCTAATTTGCGTCAGTTTAGGCTTTATGGCGGCACGTGATCAACTGCATGTCGGCAACCACCGGATTGCAACGCCGTTCCAGTTCATGGTTTGTGAGGCCTCTAAAACACAGAACAATATCAACTTGCCTCGGACCCTCCTCGTTCTCCTCGTCGAACACCTCAGCGTCCTTCTCGCCCTCCCCGGTCTTCCCCTCGGAGTCCTTCTCCGCTTTTTCTTTGCTCGTCCTGATATCGTCAAACATTTGCTTGCACCTACTGATGAGTGTCTCGAGGGGCAGGTTCTATGGTATAGCGAGGGGAGAGGGGGG